TAACACCCACAGGTCCAGAAAAGATGCATCCACAAAAAAGGTTTGAGGGGACCCCAGAATCTCTATCTGAGCTCAGTGGTAAAGGTCTTCCCCTGCATGAAGGCAGTTTGTAAAGGCTAGCAGATGTGGCTGTGTTTTCAAATGGTAGATCCCAACACAAGGTAACAAGGCACACAAAGGAAACAAGGAAAACATGGCCCAACTAAGAGAACAAAATAAATCTCCAGGAACTGACCCTAAAGAAACTGAGCTATATGAATTACCTGATAAAAATCTAAAAATAACTGTCATAAAGATGTTCAACAAGCTCAGGAAAACAATGCATAAATAAAATGAGAATATCAATAAAGAGAAAACACTAAAAAGAACCAAACAGGAATTTTGAAGCTGAAGAATACAATACCTGAATTGAAAAATTCAAAAGATGGGTTCAAAAGCAGTCTTAAATCAAGCAGAACAAAGAATCAAGGAACTCAAAGATAAGTCATTTGAAATTATCCAGAGGAACAAAAAGAAAAGAGAATGAAGAAGAATGAAGAAAGGCTTAAGGGACTTACTGAACATTATCAGTTAGATCAATACATGCATTATGGAAGTCCCAGAAGGAGAGGAGTGAAAGGAGCAGAAAGCTTATTTGAAGAAATAATGACCCAAAACTCCCAAATCTGGGGAAAGAAATGGACGTTCAGATTCAAGAAGTCCAACAGCTTCTTATGGGATACAGCAAGGGCAGTTCTAAGAGGGAATTTCATAGTGGTAAATGCCTACATTAAAAAAGAAGAGACTCTCAAATAAACCACCCATCTTTACACCTCAAAGAACTAGAAAAAGAAGAATTAAACCCAAAGTTAACAGAAGGAAATGATAAGGATTAGGGCAGAAATAAAATTTTAAAAAATCAACAAAACAAAGAGGTGGTTTTTTAGAAAAAATCAGCAAAATTGACAAACCCTTAGTTAATAAAAAGAGAGAGAAGCCTCAAACATAATCAGAAATGAAAGAGGAGGTATTAAAATTGATGTCAGAGAAATACAAAGGATCGTAACAGACTACCATGGACAATTACTCATCAACAAACTGGATAACCTAGAAAAAAAAGGATAAATTCCTAGAAACATATAACCTATCAAGACTAAATAATGAAGAAATAGAAAATCTGAACAGACCTATAACTAGTACAGAAACTGAATCAGTAATCAAAAACCTCCCAACAAAGAAAAGTCTAGGATTCAGTGGTTTCACTGGAGGATGCTACTAAACATTTAAAATAGAATTAACACTTATGCTTCTCAAATTCTTCCAAAAAATTTTAAGAGGCGGGAACACTTCCACACCATTTTATGAGGCCAGCATTACTCTGACACGAAAGCTGAACGAAAACACTACAAGAAAGGAAATACAGACCAATATCCCTGATGAATACAGATGCAAATCCTCAACAAAATATTAGCAAACTGAGTTCAACAGTTTTAACAACACATTAAAAGGATCAGACACCATGACCAAGTGGGATTTATTCCAAGAATGCAAGGATGGTCCAACATACAAAAGCCAATCAATGTGATACACACCACATTAAAAGAACAAAAAATTAAAACTCACATGATCATTTCAATAAATACAGAAAAAGCATTTGACAAAATTCAACACCTTAAATTATTAAAAACACTTGACAGATCAGGAACAGAAGCAAATTACCTCAAAATAATAAAAGCCACATATGAAAAGCCAATGTCTAGTATATACTTAACTGTGAAAAACTCCAAGTTTTTCCTTGGAGACTAGGAATAAGGCAAAGATGTCCATTGTTACCATTTCTATTCAATATAGTACTAGAAATCCTAGGTACAGCAATTAGGTGAGAAAAGAAAATGCATACAAATTGGAAAGGAGGAAGTAAAATTATCTGTTTGCAGAAACACGATCTTATACATAGAAGACTCTACAGACTCCACAAAAAAAAACCATTACAATTTAAGCAATTCAGCAAAGTTGCAGGATAAAAAAATTAATATAAAAAAGAAGTTGCATTTCTATACACAAAAATGAAAAATCAGAAAAGAAAATTAAGAAAATGTCATTTATAATAGCATCAAAAGAACAAAATACTTAGGAATAAACATTACCAAGAATGTGACAGACTTATACACTGAAAACTACAAGCACTGCTTAAAGAAATTCAAGACACAAATAAATGAAAAGGCATCCTGTGTTCATGATTGGAAGACTTAATACTGTTAAAATGTCCATACTACCCAAAGCAATCTACAGATTCAATGCAATTCCCATCAAAATCTCAGTAGCACTTTTTTGAGAAAAAGAAAGATCAATTCTAAAATTCATATGGAACCACAAAGGATCCTGAATAGCCAAAACAATTTTAAGCAAGAAGAACAAAGCTAGAGGCCCCATACTTCCTGACTTCAAAACATACCACAAAGGTACAGTAATCAAAACAGTACGGTACTGATGTAAAGAGAGACACATAGAACAATAGAAGAAAAGAGAGAAGGTCTCATATATGGTCGACTGATCTTCAACAAGTGTGCTAAGAATACACAACGGGAAAAGGGTAGTTTCTTCAACAAATGGTGTTGAGAAAACTGGATTTCCACATGCAAATGAATGAAACTGAAGCTTTATCTTACACTACACAAAAATCAACTCAAAATGGATTGAAGACTTAAACAGGACATGAAACTATAAAACTCTTAGAAGATGGGGCTTCCCTGGTGGTGCAGTGGTTGAGAATCTGCCTGCTAATGCAGGGGACACGGGTTCGAGCCCTGGTCTGGGAGGATCCCACATGCCGTGGAGCAACTAGGCCCATGAGCCACAACTACTGAGCCTGCGCGTCTGGAGCCTGTGCTCCGCAACAAGAGAGGCCGCGATAGTGAGAGGCCCACGCTTGCCACAACTAGAGAAAGCCCTCGCACAGAAATGAAGACCCAACACAGCAAAATAAATTAATTAACAAAAAATAAGGAATGATATTAAAAAAACAACTCTTAGAAGAAAATACAGGGGAAAAGCTTCATGATATTGGTCTTAGCAATAATTTTTTTTTTTTTTTTTTTTTGCGTTACGCGGGTCTCTCTCTGTCGTGGCCTCTCCTGTTGCAGAGCACAGGCTCCGAACACGCAGGCTCAGCGGCCATGGCTCACGGGCCCAGCCGCTCCGCGGCATATGGGATCTTCCCAGACCAGTGCACGAACCTGTGTCCCCTGCATCGGCAGGCAGACTCTCAACCAACTGCACCACCAGGGAAGCCCTTAGCAATGATTTTTTAAATATGACCTGGCAATGATTTTCTGGATATGACACCAAAAGCACAGGCAACATAAGCAAAAAGAGACAAGTGAGACTACATCAAACTAAAAAGCTTCTGCATAGCAAAGGAAACAATCAACAGAGTAAAAAGAGGATATGTGAAATGGGAGAAAATATTTGCAAACCAAATATCTGATAAGGGTTAACATCCAAAAGTAAATAAGGAACTCCTACAAGTCAATAACAAAAAATCAGATAACCTGATTTAAAAAATGGGTAAGAGACCTGAATAAACATTTCTCCAAAGAAAACATAAAAATGTCCAATATGTATATGAAAAGATGCTTGACATCACTAATCATCAAAGAAATGCAAATCAAAACCACTGTGAGATATCACCTTACACCTGTTAGCATGGCCATTATTAAAAAACAAACCAGAACCAAAAGAAAACAAAATAAGAGTTTTCAAGGATATGGAGAAAAGGGAACCCTTGTAAATGTTGGTGGGAATGTAAAATGGTGCGGCCATTATGGAGACCAGTATGGAAGTTCATCAAATTACTAAAACTAGAACTATTATATGTTCCAGCAATCTCACTTCTGGGTATTTATCAAAAGAATTGAAAACAGGATCTAAGAGATATTTGCACTCCTATGTTCACTGCAGTATTATTCACAATAGCCAAGAAGTGGAAAGACCTAAATATTCACCAGCCTATCAATGGATAAATAAAATGTGGGGTATATACAGTGGAATATTATTCAGCCTTAAAAAAGGAAATCCTGTCATATAGTACAACATGGGTGAAACTTGAGGGCACTGTGCTAAGAGATATTAACCAGTCACAGAAGGACAAATACTGCATGATTCCATTTTTACGAGGTATCTACTGTAGTCAAACTCACAGAAGCAGAAAGTGACATGGTGGTGGTCAGGGGCTGGGAGGAGGAGGAAAGGGGGAGTTGCTGTGCAATGGGTACAGAGATTCAGTAATGCAAGATGAAAAAGTCTGAGAGATCTGCTGCACAATGATGCATATATAGTTAATAATACTGTACACTTTAGGGCAGATATCATGTTACGTGTTTTTTTACCACAAAAACGGGGGAAATGAAGTTTGTATGACATGACTTGTTCACGATGAATGGATGCCAACTTCTAGGGATCAGCATTTCCATCTGCAAGTACTCACATCTTTATGGAATTATCTTTATGGAACTGGATTAACATCAAGCTCCCCAGTAGGGTTTTCAAAATCCACTATCCCCTTTTTGGAAATCAGAGTGACACCTGTCCATCTTAACCTTCTAGTACCTATCCTTTTATCTAGGATTTCCTAGATTACTTACAGTGGTATAGAAAATACATCTGCAAATTCTCTTAGAACCCTGAAATAAAATTATCCCGGGGCAGAAGAATTGAAATAAATGACAATGGTTAGATGCTCACTTGCTTTCTTATATGCTACTTACTTATCTCAATTTCTCTCTCACCAATGGTGTCTGCACCCTTTCCAAACTAATGTGCATTCTCTCACAGAGAATGTTCTAAAACAAACTAAAACAAAAAATGTTGAGTAATTTTGCTTTCTCTATCTGCTCACATTACACCAAACAGCAGGCCCAAGTTTGTAACAGTACAATTAAAGTAATCAAATGCATGGTACTGTAGATATAAGTTGTGAACTTTAAGAATAGAGCTATTAAAATTCTAATTTCACTGCTTACTTTCAAATATGCAGCTGCCTCTTGGACAGAAAGTGTTCTCTGACTAGAACTGCCACATTCATGATCTCCTGGAAAGATTAGCATATTATTAATTTTGAATCAGTACTATGTTAAACAGAAGAAAACAAATATGATTAATCAAACTAGTTTTACAAATTACACAATTATAGATTATATTATTATAATCAGTAAAGAAAGAAGATAAACACTCATTTATATTTTCTAGAAATAAATTTCAATAGGCAATATAAACAAATATTTTTATATCAACCACAACCTTTAAATGTATTTCAGTCTAGATAGAAACATACATTCCTCTTACATTCCCAATGAAATTGTTAGCCAGGGGTAGGAACCATGTCATGCTGATGCCTATCCATAGATCTTGGCACAAAGAAAGCCCTCTATAGATGTATTATTTTTCAAGGGGGAAAATTCATTGTGCTAACTCATACATCTATTAACTAAAGCTAATAATTCAAGAGTTCAAGTTTGAATTAAAATGTGCATTTTCGGAGTATTACTAAGCCTATCTTTAGCAAGGAGTATGCATAACTTAAAAAATTATTATAACACAAATCAATAGGGAAATTAGAAGCTTCTACCTATAATCTGGTTTCTACAAATACGTGTACTACATACAAAAGTTTGGAAAACTACATTTTCCTTTTCTTGTAACTATTTATAAAAAAATCCAAAGCCTTTTTTTTTTCTTTTTCAGGCTATCTGTGGTTATTAGAGATCAATTATCCTTACAATGAACTTCAATTTTAAGTTTCTCCTACTTGTTTCTTTCAAGTACTTTTTAAAAAAAAATTTAACATAAAAGTACAATAATTAAAGTAAAATCCTTGGCAAATTTTTCTATCATAAAAGCAACCATGCTCCTATTTATCATTTTGTTCAAGTAGCCAGATTTTAATGGTCATGGTTGTAAAACAGGTAGAAATACCTATTAGATGAACATGTAAGTCTTCAAACTTTATAATCCATCCTCAGAGATTCCAATTCCACAGATCTGCAGCAGAGGTTGGCAAACCCACAGACCAAATCTGGCCTACCACCGGTTTTTATAAATGAAGTTTTATTGCAACACAGCCACGCTCATTCATGTATTATCTATGGCTGCTTTCAGGCTCTAACAGCAGAAATGAGTAGTTGTGACAGAGACAGTCTATCCCACAAAGCCTAAAAAATCTACTCTCTGGCTCCTTCACAGAAAAAAGTTTGCAGACCCCTGCTGTAGAGGAAGGAATCTATATCTTTAAAAGCACCCCAGACTATGCCAATCTAACACACTTCATAAAACACTGCTATAGAGACAGCTCTAGAAGCTTGTAGCAGCAACATGAGGAATTCCATGTAGATTATATACTTCATTTCTGGGTGCTACAGCATACCAAATAAATGTCATCAGTTTGCAGCATATGTATGTAACAGTCTGTCAGTCAATGCAAAGAAGACTTTTAGTGATATACACACAATTATTAGCCAAAAAAAAACTGACCAGAATTAAGGACCCCGAAAAAAAACAAAGATTGGTGAGAGGATGGGGAACTGTAAGGATTCTCAATGCTTCCATTCGACCAGAGAAGTTCCACATTCACCTACTAGGTTTCTACCAATGATCTAGTTTCTACAAAAAGATCTGCTACAAACAAAAGTTTGGAATACTACATTTTTCTTTTCTTGTAACTGTTTATATGAAGAGAATCCAAAGTCTCTTCTTTCAGATTATATGTGAAATAACTGAAAAAAGTTAAAAGGTAATAAACAGATAAGGTGCTACTACAGCTTTTATAAATGCTAAACTTCATGCCAATTCACCTATATTATTCTAATTGCAGGTATGTTGCATACCTGAGAACCCTCAAAGTCTTACTAAGACCAGAATATGAGGAAAATGCGATGTTTCAGGAGAAAAAAATTCTGTAATATATTTACTTTATCCAAGGAAATGACACCTATACAATCACCAAAGGAAAATCTGCACTTTTATATTTAATTGAGGATTTTAGTTAATCCACTGCTTACCCAATTTAACTAATATATAAGCTTTCAGAATTTTATTATCAATGCAATAAAAAAATGTGATGACTTTTACCATAGAGTATATTTCATTGTATACATATGGCAGGCAGGAAAAAGGCCTTGAATAAACATATCTATACAGATAAAAACCCACTCCATATAAGGACTAAAAACTTCTAAAGAGAAAACACCCCACAATGTAATATAACAACACTGAACTTGGGAAAAACCATTTCTACTGATACTGCATGCTATATATGCAAATTAATTTTCAAAACAGTTTTAGAGACTATGAATGTTAAAACAATTACCTGCAAGCTGTGCCAATCGATCATGAAGCTTGTATAAAGTGTTCATCATATGATTTTTCTCACTTTCCTAAATTTAAAAGAAATTATTATAAAATATCCGATTCCGGGGAGAAAAATGCACCAATTAATAATTTTTATTCAAAAAGAAAAACAGTGAATGAACTTAAAAACCATAGAAGCTACATAATCTGAAAGACAAATTCATATTTAACCAACGGCTACCATATTTTAAAGAAACCTTAATCTAAGAATCTAAACTATCATTCTAAATATTTTACCTTCTTGAGGATGATTGGGAAACTGGCACTAAGGTTAGTGCTAGAAAATGTCTTATATACAACAAACTCCCCCAGCCACCAAAACAATGCTCCCAATCCCCCTCTATACAATGCACGCTCATGTGTATTCTTATGAGACTGTTTTCTTCATGTTTTGTTTTAACCTGCCTCAACCACATAATAAGGGAATGAGTAGTGACACTTCAATTAAATTAACCCTCAACCCCTCCTAGGTCCCAAAGTGGCCCTGTATAAATTTATGAACCATTAAAGTGAAACAAACATTTAATGAGCATCTACTACGAGTTAAGAACTGTTCTCAACAAAGCAAGAAACCCAGGGAACAAGATGGTTCCTGTTCTCAAGGGCAAAAAACAGACTAAACGTTATATTATAGTTGCAAACAAGGTACAATGTAAATACAGAAGATGGAGGGGAGGGAAGATCCATTTATGGAAGAGGGAATATCTGAATCGGGCTTCACAGAAAGAATAGAATTGACCAGCATTCCAGGCAGAAGGAACAGCATGGACCTGAAGGAATAAAACCTTTGGTTGTATTTCTTACATAACCAGAGCCTACTTTGACTCAGCAAACTACTAGAAAAGCGGTTTGGAATCAATGGCTAGAGAGCTCTAGATACCAAGACAAAGCGTTTGACTTCATTCTGAACATTTAGGACAAGAAAAGTAAAACAGAACTGTGCATCAGGAATATTATTCTGACCATATGAAAGGAAACCAGAGCGCAGACTACTGCAATGTCTAAGCACCCTGACAAGTAGTCTAAAGCAATGAGACCTCAATTTAAGAGCAATCACAATTAAGAGAAACTGATACAAGCAACGGGGGAGGGTAGGTTAGGAGAGGGGGTAAGAATAGCTTATCACACTATTTGAAATAAACTCATGATTTATGAGGGGGCTACGTCTTTATTATTTCCTTTCTCCTTAAGTTTCTAACAAAATAGGATTACTGTATGAATATGACCAGGAACAAATTCAGACAGGATAGTAAAAAAGCTGGGAAAGTAAAATTCATATGCCCAATGATACGTAATCTCATCCATTTGTTTTCACGCTATATGTTCAAGGACAGAAGAGACAAGTCTGCACACTATGGATGGCACACTATGGATCAATGCAGCTTTAATGAGTGGTACTAGGAAGAGAAAAACTCATCAAAGGCTCCATAATCCTACCACCAGAGTCCCTGGCTTTATGTGAGATCGTTGCTAGAGATAAGTGACATTCCTTCAGCTGACTACTTGCCTTCCAACCCATTTGCTTTTTACCCCCTCAATTCTATCTCAACCTGATTCAGAATCAAGCCAGTCCTTATCACATAAGCTTAAAAATCCAAAATGCAAAAATTAGACATCAAAAAGTAACTGTAGCTGAAATTCAAGATTCTGAAAGCTATGCATCTGTGATAGATTAAACCACAAAATCGTTTTTTAATAAATATGTTCAACATAACAAGATGAGGAGTTCCAATGATACTGTAGGTTGTGGACTTGACATATAAAACCAAGGTAAATCTGATTAAGCTTCAGGACTAAAGTGGTTGAGAGTTTTGAAGTTTGTTTCCTTCCTTAACTGGAAAAGAGACCGATTCCCTTTTCGTTTTGCATGTCCTGATCATGCCTATCCCCACACCCCTTTCAAAACCAAAACTAAATCCAAAAATTTGACACTGTCCTCTGTGATTACATCTTTAATGAACATCAGAGGCCTGGGAATAAACTTCATCTATTGATTCACGTATATTAACCCTGGACTAGGACTTCCCTGGTGGTGCAGTGGTTAAGAATCTCCCTGCCAATGCAGAGGACATGGGTTCGATCTCTGGTCCGGGAAGATCTGACATGACATGGAGCAACTAAGCCCGTGCACCACAATTACTGAGCCTATGCTCTAGAGCCCATGAGCCACAACTACTGAGCCCACACGCCACAACTACTGAGCCCACGCGCTCTAGGGATTGTGTGCTGCTATTGAGCCACATGCTGCAACTACTGAAGCCCATGCAACTAGAACCCATGCTCCACAACGAGAAGCCGCCACACAGCAACAAAGAGTAGCCCCTGCTCACCACAACTAGAGAAAGCCTGTGTGCAGCAACGAAGACCCAATGCAGCCAAAAAACAAATATATAAATACGTTAAAAACAACAACAACAAAAAACACTGGACTAGACAAGTAGAAGAAATAACAAAACCTAATCATATGTAACTGGATCTCATACTGGATAACATACATGCTATTCCATTCGCATACAATGCATTTAAACGCCCAAAAAGCTCAGCTATAATTTTTTCAAGAATTATTTTTCCAACAGCAACTCATTCAAAATGACCATCTATATATTACAAGGGTGTCAAGTGCCATCCAAATGATCAACTAAATTACGACCTAAATAGTTTTTATGGAACATTTTATTAAGGGGAACAAATCAATTTTGAGAAATAGAAAGGTTCAATAATCTTTAGCACCAATATGCTAAACTAGAAGTAAATCCGAAAAGCATGTAAATCAAATGTTAAAGTTACTTTCTTACAGAAACTTATATTGGCTTATAGTTTCATTACAAACTTCTTCCATTCTGTCTGCTTTTCAGATTGCCTCCTAATATTCAGCTTGAAATGTGTCTACTGATCACCCTGAAAACAAGTTAAAGATCTACAAATAAATCCATATTTAAAGTAAGCTTTCAAGTAACCTTCCATTAAACAAAAATAATTTTTTAATTTGAAATAGCTACCTTCTAATTGCGTGTTTTGATAAGCTCCAGATTTTCTTTTACTAACACAAATCATTCTCTGAAGCAAAGTTCTCATGCTTGGGGGAAAAACCAAACTGTAGGGTGACTCTACCAAATTTTCTCACATATTATCACCTTTAAATATTTCCCTGTTGTATCTCAGCCAATTTTCTCAAGGATATTTTCAATTTTTGTATCAAGTCCCTGATTAAATGATATTAATGGATTTTAAACACTTAGCATAGTGCCTGGCACAGAATAAACACTTAATGTAAGTTAATTGCCATTATCTTCATTACAATTATTATTATTATTTAGAGATTAGGAACTTCAGGTTCCCCCAAGGGGAAAATTATACAGAAGAAAATAAAGTCTTGTCTTTTCAATGTTCAGTGAGTATATTGTGCAAATTTAAATTATGATGCCAGCAGCAATGTTATACTAAATATGATAAAGTCAACTTTTTTAAAAAAACAATATCACAACAATAGAATACTACAGAAAATAATCATTACTAACAATCTAAAGTAACATTCTATGGATCTGATTACACATTATTACATATCATTTAGTACAACAAATAATGTTTTCTGTACAGGTCTGTATTACTGTCAGTTCCTATAATAAAAAAAAATTAACAACTAATTGTGTATTATAATATAAACTCAAATATCATAATCTTTGGAGTGCCTATAATGATGAATGGTAAGTGAAAAATATTTTCATGTGAGTAAAACTTAGGTTAAAATTAACATTATAAATCCTTTAAAAATAAAAGGAATCATAAATAAGTTGCATAAGACTCTAAATCCTTTGCCTTCCTGACAGTTGAAAAGGCATGCCAATGAGCAAAAAATCGAAAGAGAACAAAAGGAGGGCAAAAAAGACAAAAACTGCTAGGGTACCCAACAATTAAGAAAAGAGGCATACTTTTAAGGGTAAGACCAGATCCCCAGAAGACATGCCACTGCCATTTTACTTGGCAGTGGCTTTTACCTCAAAGTGATAAACAGGTCAGCTCTTAGGTGGAAATCGGTGTCAGATTTAATTATACTGTGGTCAAGGAATACTCAAAAATAAGAAAATTTATTCCCTTTAAAATTACTACTTTTTAGGTGATAGTCATCCTACTACCTTTATCATATAAAACGTAAGACAAAGTATCAGTATTAAGATTTTTTACTTACTTTTATGTTTCCAAATGTTTCATCAAAGGGGTTTTTTACTATCAAGGAAAGAAAAAGAGAGAACTATTAGCATCATTTAAGAATGAGAATTAGAATCCCCCTAAACAAGCCCTCGGAAATGCCAACGTGTACTATGCTAAAACTGAATGTAAACATGCAAACAATATATAAACAAACTGATGATAATAAAGGTTGGGGAACTAATTTTTCAGACTTACTATATTTACCATTCTATGATTTTGTGGTTTGCTCTATAATACTTAGAGTGACTTGGTTCAAGTCCTAGCTCCACTACTTTCTAGCAACGTGGCCTTGAACTACCATCTATTTAGCCACTCTAAGTTGTAGTTTCCTCTTCTGTAATGGAAGGATGTAATGATGATACCTACCTTATACAGTTGTGAGGATTAAATGAGATAAACCATATAAAATGCTTGGCATAGTGTCAAACACTTAATATATGTTACCTATTATCGTTACTATTAATGACTATCATTTCTTCACCTTAACTTGGTTTCTCTTCAAAATATAGACTAAAGGCAGTTACTACTTGAGGAAATCTACAAGATGCTTTAAAACTGAATAATTCATTTAGAATTCTTACTTCCAATGATTAAAAAACAAAACTTCCTAGTCCTTGCTAACATCTGGAAAAGTGGCATGAAACAAATATACACATCAAAGTGGCTAAGAATAAAGTATCAGTATTAAACAACTTCTTACTTCTAATAAATATTATAAAGAAAGGATTTACCACTTTCCATCCAACCTCCATACATCCACCCTCCCCCAAAAGATACAAACAAGTTCATGGCTGATTATGTAGCATCTCTCTGGTTATTATTTAGAATCTCCTCCTTTTCCTCTATTTTAAAATTGCATGCAAAAATATTCAAAGCTTTCAGATACCTGGATCTCTATAAGCCAGGTCACAACTAGGACTAACTGAGCCTACAAAGTAGTTCACACTGACCAGGTTTCCTTTCTGAGGTGCTTTTCTATTTTTATTTGAGAAAACAGGAAGTCCCATAGGAACCAGGAACTGCCTGATTCTAAGAAAGTTCATGTGTGAGACCAGTTTAAGTTAAAAGGTACAATAAAAAACAAGGCAAAAATGTATTCTTCTATCATCTAAAGGGATTTGGTAATGCATTTTCAGACATCATTTTTCTATAAAGCAATAGGGTTTTCATGCTGAGAAAGAAAAAATTTTGAAAAACAGATCAGAAGTACTCAGTAGGGGACTAGGAAGAGGAATATAGCTTAAAGATTAAATAAAATGTTAAGAATCAGAACATGCTTAGACTAAAAAGATACTTTTTAATAACACTAATTTTAATTAATGTAAAATTTGAACAATTTAAAATAAAGCCATATTTAGTTCAATATACTACCAAAAATGCTTTTGTCAATCTACTTAAAATAAATTGGTCAAACAATACTAAACAATGAGTATTTCATTTGCCCTCTATAAGAGTAATTCTAAAAAATATTAAAGCATGCAATTCTAAAAACAGGTTTTAATATCTATGAAGAAAGGCCATGAGAGGACCATTTTTTGACTGCTTACAAATTTGTTTCTATTAAAATTATTAAATGGAAAACTAGCTCTTCAAGTATCTCTATGAAAGTATTACTGTAGATTGTGGATGCTCTGCCACTAGACTGCTCTACTATGAGTTTCTCATGACAAGGGATCACGTGTATTCAGGTTTGTATGCTTGGAGCCAAGCACAGTACTGAACATACAGTCAGTGTTTGAAAAGTACTATTTGAGCTGTCTAGGCTAAATCTGTCCTTCTTTATTCTACTCTATGTGTTAACACTGAAGCAAAAGTGTTAAACTCTGCAGGAAGCTGGAGAAGGGTACGTTCTGAGCAACTGGAAAGGGAGAGGAATAGGATAACAAAGGGAAAGCCAAAGAGCAGAATAGTAATTCTGTTGAAAAACGTTGCTCTGCCATTTGTATCTTTCTAAGTTTCTGTCTCTTGTCTAATAGGCTTAGATACCCGAGAGCATAACATATCTGAAAGCCAACAATATACATACCTACTGATAAAAAAATGTTCCCCAACTTCCTGTGACAACTGTCACCTATTAAATTAACAGATGGACCTATTAAATTAACAAAAGTAAATGTAGTCTTGAGGTTAAGTTTAAAAAGGAAACTCCATCTAAAAACAGCAATTTTAGCAAACAAAAGCATTTTTTATGCATCTAACTTTTATTCCCCTAAATCATTTCAGTATTTCTAAAACTACATCAGTACTTTTTATCTCATCCACATTACCTACAATTTCTAATGGATACAACAAATATTGTTACCCCTAGTGAAAACATTCCTCCCTCCCCCTGCTAACTAGGCAATTGTAGAGAAGAAACCATATTCCAAAAACATCTACAGCAAATGCCACCTGATTTTTTAGCCTCTAAAAAATGGAAACTGAGAGTAAATTATAGTTCTTATCTCTTATCCTAAAGCAATGATAATGCCAAGTTGGTATTTCAAACTTATTGTCCTTCTATAACCCCTACACCCCGAATAGCTTCTCATTACTGCTTTTTCTCAAATTCTCCTGGTGTGGCCATTTCTCCTTCATTTTTCTTGTTCAGATTATTTCAAACCTCAAATATACCAAACTTTTTTTTATAAATGTCCTTAAATTTTGACTTCTCTTCTTCGGACTATCCTAATAATTGTAAAAATCAAAGTCCTAAAAATATTTCTTTAATTATACTACTAGACCCCTCAAAATCGTCCAATGATTTCTCATCACATTTTGCTTCAAGCAACTAATTCTAATCTTGTGATCGTTTCCCACTTACTTTCAAGACACATTGTTTCCTCTCCTTCTCTAAGCCTCTTTCTCTCACATAAATTGCAAAAAAAAGTTGCTAGTTTTACTGATCCTTTCTATCAAGTGTAAACTCTTTTCCATTCTCTTAGGCTGAGATCAAATTGTCAACCATTATGAATTCCCAGATAAAAAGGGAAAAAATGAAGTATATTATAAATGTAGGTACATTGTTTTTTTAGACATAATGCTATTGCACGCTTAATGGACAGTATAGCGTAAGCATAACTTTTACAGGCACTGGGAAACCAAAAAACTCTTGTGACTCCCTTTATTGCAATATTCGTTTTATTACAGTGTCAGGAACCAAACCTGTAATATCTCCGAGGTATGCCTGTATTCGCAAAGTATGTTTAATGTTGACCAAATGAACTGATGTCCTCCTCAGGAAGGCCCCATTTTGGTCACTCAGTGGCAATAAAGGGAAGAAAAGTCTGTGATGACCACAGTTCTTTTACAACTCAGAAAGAAAGATAAAGTTTATTCATTTAATAAGTATTTATTGAATAGTTTGTGCTAGGCACTGGAAATGTGGCTGTGAATAAAATAAATAATATCTCTGCCCTCAAGGAGCTTATATTTTAGAGGCGTTAGAAGAGACAATGAGCAAATACACTTTTAAAATATATAGTACGTCAAATGGTTCTAAGTGCTTTGGAAATAAAACAGCAGGAATGGTGCTTGACATGTGAGGGAACTTCTATACTGTTTTCCATAGTGACTGTACCAATTTACATGCCCACCAACAGTGTACAAGGGTTCCCTTTTCTCCCCTTTTCTCAGATTGTGTTTGAATAGAAACCTGAGAGAGCTGAGGGAACAAGCCGTGGACTGTGAAGGAAGAGATTTATAGACAGAAAGAACAGGAAGTGTACGGGCTGTGAAGTGGCAGCATGCCTGCCATACTACTCCTGGAAATAGAGCAGTGTGGATGAGAGGGTAAGTAGCAAGAAATGAAGTCAAACTGGTAAAATTAAGGGAGTTGGTAGGTAAGATAATGTAGAACCTTGAAGACTTTTTATATATTACTCTGAGCAAGAAACCTCAGAGAATTGGAAACATGTTATCCGGCTTATGCTTTAAAAGAAAGACACATGTAATAAGTGACAGGCCCCTCTCTGGATTAAGTTTAAGAGTCCTAAACATTTAGATAAGAAAGATCTGCTTGAAAACTGAGGAAATAGTACATTCAGGGTACTTTCGTCCTGCTTTCTCTACATCAGCACAGCCAACTACAGACAGCCTCAACATTTTTCTGTTCTGAATACTTGAAACTATTACCAGTCATATAAAAATATTCTGTCAGAAAGAACTGAATAGACATTTTTCTAAAGAAGACATACCTGGCCAACAGGTACGTGAAAAGGTGCTCAACATCACTAATCATTAGGGAATTGGAAATCAAAACCACAGTGAATTATCACCTCATACTTGTTAAAATGGCTATCCTCAAAAAGACGAGATAACAAGTTTGGTGAGGGTGGGGAGAAAAGGGAACCCTTGTACACTGTTGGTGGGAATGTAAATTGGTACAGTCACTATGGAAAACAGTATAGAAGTTCCTCAAAAAATTAAAAATAGAACTACCATATGATCCAGTAAAATCCCACTTCTGGGTACACATCCAAAGGAAATGAAAACAGGATCTCAAAGAGAGATCTGTATCCCCATATTCATCGCAGCGTTATTTACAACAGCCAAGATATGGGAACAACCTAACTGTCGATGGGTGAATGGATAAAGATGATGCAGTACATATATACAATTCAGCCACGAGACAGAAGGAAATCCTGCCATTGGCAATAACATGGATGGACCTTAAGGGCATTGTGCTAAGTGAAATAATTCAGACAGAGAAAGACAAATACGGTATGATATCACTTATATGTGGAATCTAAAAAACCAAACTCAGAGAAACAGAGAGTAGAGTGGTGGTTACCAGGGGCTGGGCAGTGGAGGTAATGGGGAAATACTGGTCAAAGGGTACAAACTTCCAGTTGTAAGATTAACAAATTCTGGGGATTTAATGTACAGCATGGTGATTATAGCTAATAATATTGTATTATAAACTTGCAAGTTGCTTAAAGAGTATTTCTTAGATGTTCTCACCACAAAAAAGAAATGATAATTATATGACAGGATGGAGGTGGTAGCTAATGCTATGGTGGTAATCATTTTGCAGG